AAAACCGCCTAATCTTTTAATAGTCTCTCCGCCTCCCCACACGTCGTCCCTGCGGGGTACAGTAATTAAATCTCGGCTCCAACCTCCAACTACGTCTACTGGGGCTGGGTAGTTCTGTGAATATCTCTGGTGATATTATCTCCGTAGATAGTCGATTCGTTGCTGCTCTACGGGCCAATTCATTCCTTTTTCGTCTCTGTTTTGACAGATAATAAAACAGAAGAACTTTTTCCTTCGAACGCCTTCAGCCGCCATGCTTTCTTCACCACGAGTTTAACTGATGAGCATGCGCACTTAATATTTCTCAGGTAGCTTCCGCATGGCGAACAGAGCCGAGATTTAATTACTGTATCCCGCAGGGACGACGTGTGGGGAGGCGGAGAGACTATTAAAAGATTAGGCGGTTTTCTTTCATGTACGTCCGCCATTTTTAGGTCACCGGCTTTGTAAAGCCTGGCTCAATTCGTTGAGAATCCGCTCTTAGTCTAAGAGGAAGTGGTTACAGTGATGTGGTGGCAGAGCCAGTGGAACCTCGCGGACAAGACATGTCTGGACTAAAACCATGTGTACTGCCAGCGCCTTGCTAGTGGTACAAAAAACTTAACAAAAATTAAAGTGCAAAAGTGCCAAATAATTCTAAAAAGCACATACATAAGTATTAAATTCAGGATATTCTTCCCTTTTCGATTTTTTTTTATGTAACAATGAAATGAATACTGATTATCACAACATTTATCATTTAAAACCTTCACTGATAAAAATATGGAACATGTACTTCAAGTTATGAAGACTTTTGTGCCTTAAAATCAAAATAATTATTAGAGTTTACATTGAGCAACACCTACCTCTCTAATGCTATCCTGGAGATCATCCAGACTTATTCTGTTGGCAATTGGTTTCTTTATGCACTTCAGGGCCAACTCAGCAAATTTATATGTACATTTGAACATCTTCTCTGATCGAACAGGCCAGATTCCAGGTAAATCTTTCTGTGCCTTTGAAGAAAAAGAGGGCACAGTAAAGCAAAAGCAATTTGGTAATGTTGCAAGACACAAGTTTCTACAATAATTTCCCATTTATGGCCAATGTCAACATAGCACTTATATTCATAAAGCAGTGCAACAAGTTCATGGTGCAAAGAAGGTCAAAGGACAAATCCCAGGTCTGTTAAAATGTCAATGAATGACTTCCTTTTCAAGTTCAATAGTAACTTTGGGCATATCTCTGCCAGTTTTGGAGATATAAGGTCCACAAAGATGAGTTTGTGATGAAAAGTAGGTCAAAGGTCAAATTCAAGGTCACAGTAAGATTGCCAATATATGAATTTTTATTCAAGTTCAATAGTAAGTATGGGCATATCCTTGCTAGTTTTGGAATATTTCACCATAGAGCATTTCAATGTTGAACATTTTGAAAAAAGCACAACTAATATATGTTTGGAAAAAGTGTTGCTCCTGATAAGCCCTACATAATGCAACAAACAAGATGTCTCTAGTATTTCTGCATCTAATGGCTGCCTCTCCTGTAACAATGACCCCAAACTTACAAACATGAAAGGAAATCCAAGTGAAGTTCCTCACCATAGTATAAAAACTTAAGTCCCTGTACTTTCAGAGTATTGGCACAAACAAGTATTTCTTTGCAGAAAATTAAATTTTTTACAAAATTTTGCCCCGTTCTCCACATGACTTTTGGTCAGACTTCTATAGTAACTTTTCCCATTATTCATCCAATTTGGGGGATATTAAGCATTTAATTTTCAAAATTTTTGACCAGGGTAAATTGCGATGAACATCACACCTACATGTACAGTTTTGTGCAGAGAAGATGACATTACGGATACGGATAAAGCAAAACCGATTAAGTTGTCTTACGTACGCCCCTTAAGAGGACAAAAGAATTGTGTGAAAATTCGTAAGCTAAGGACAATGCCGACTTACGTATATTTTACGGACATCTTACGTACATCTTACACACATGCAGAGATGAGTAAGAAGGGGTGGGCTTATGTAAATAAGGTGACAGCGGGGTGTTTCTCGCCTTGCGGCAACACAACCATGTGTGAAAAGAGGCGTGATATATGATCCCGCTTAATTGTGGGCTATTAAATCGTCCTCTGTTACGCTGCGACGCAACCCAAACATGACAAAACCCTGGTTAGAATGGGACGTTTAAGAGTAATTTACATTGATTTATTGATTTCTTGTAAAAAATCAATCCCAACAGAGACTACTAGGATGCCCAGTCAATCCTTACCTTCGCCAGCAGTTATGCACGCGATTCTTCTTTTAAAAGGTGTAAGGCATTTTTTTCAAACAACTTGTTTCTCAAGCTCCGCCGACTTTAAAATGGCCAAAAAAAATAAAATTGAAACCAAAAATAATTTTGTTTTTTTTTTCACCAATGTCCGACTGATCATACTGTTCAATTGGAATAACATAAACGCAAAAATTCTTTTTCACGGTACTCTCACGTCACATGACTGCCTACAAGTTGTAAACGAAGGCCATTTGTGCCAAGGTAAACGCTTGGTTCATTTCCTCGAGCTTCCAGTTTTTAAGCCAATCAGTACTTCGTTGATATTTCACACTACTCGTTCGACTACGTGTCAAATTAATGCAAAATGGCAGGAAAGTGAGCTGGAGTAGCCGTCTTGATTTAAGCAGGAATTTGACCACTGTTGTGTGGCTCAGTTTATAGTGAAGGAGGGACCCAGTGTTACAGATGTTTTAGGCAATTTTATTGACTACTTTCTGTCGGAAATGAACATATCAGTTGCAACACTTGCGTCACGTGTGGAGTGTTTAAACAGGGAACCAGCAGCGTAAAGAGCACAAAGCATGTTTTTTTATTATTATTTTGTAATTTACAAGAATGATTGACATTTATTTAGAAAAATAAAACATTGAAAATAAATTGCTGTTTTTTGTCCAGAAATTGCTTTACTGTGTTTTAGTTTTTACCATTGTCTTATGTAGTGTTGAAAGTGAGTTACCTAAAAGTATTTTTCACTTTATTTCACTATTTTTCACTTTTCACCCCATCCGACCTCTGTCAAAAATAAAAATTGTTTGAGAAAATAGTAATTAAGGCGTGAATATCACTGTAACACTACCTTTGTTAAACGCACAATTACAGGCCAGTCATTATCGGTGGGGGTGAGGGGGGGGGGTTATACCAGTGTATGAAATTCAAGGAAATTACTAGCCAGACCACCAGGCAGGTAACTCTGAAAAGTTACCAGCCCAGCCATGTAGTTACCTGTCCTAGTTATGATAACCCCTAGAGTTAAAGGAGGTATGCTGAGGGGGTCTAGAATGCATTCTTGGGAGAGTAATTTGGAAATGAAAGGGCAATATCATGCCTTATGCGTGGAAATTTAGAAATTGGTTGGAATTTCTACTGAATGATACCTTGTCAGTGTTGGATTTAGAGGGGTCAGGGGGGTCCTGACGCCCCCCCTCTTCAATTTCTGCAAAAAAAAAAAAAAAAAAAANCTAGTCGATACCCTATTTAGCGCAGTCTAATTTTAAGAGTGTTGTCTTTTTTTGTTTTATTTTTTTTTACCCGTTTAAGCAACGTCCAAACCTGTGTAATGAACATCAAACTTACAGATCACATCAACAACATAACAGTATAAATCTTAACGGAACCTTCTTTCTGTAATGTTTGAGTTAATTGGTGGTGGGCAGAGTCTTATTATTCAATGATGATAATAATAATTGTAGAAGTAGGGCTACATGTAGTCGCACAAAAGCACATTCCTTAATTCTGTGATCTATTCTAGGGTGTAGGTTTTCGTATATTTTTTAACTGAGTCTGTACCATCAACTTACCAGCTTTGGACAACTGGCGAGCAGACAACTTTCCTCTAGGGATGATAATTTCACTGTTGTCAGGTGCTGGTCTCATATCGGCAGTTGCCGCAGGGAGCGTGATTGAAATCAAAACTTGGCACATCTTGAAAGTTTAAGTCGGACAAAAGAACTTCAGGTGACCCTTTTAATCAGAGCTGCCAGGTAAGCTAACAGTTTAATTACTGCAACGTACAGGTAAATTGAGAGTTGCGATAAGATCACCTTCTTCCTATCTCTCCATCAACATATTTCTTGAGACTGCCTTTATTTTCGTTCACTGTTCCACAAGGATAATTATCAAACGAAGAACATTGTATGGAGAAGGGGTTTTTATTCATTATTTTATTCATGAAACAATAAGCAAACTGCTCGTTTCAGCAGAAGGATGGGAATATAAAACCATTTATTTAAAATAAAGTTCTTAAAAAACTGCTTGCTTAAAGCATTCCATCAAGATACATGTGAACTAAATCTGGATTGAATAAGTTGTATGAATAATGTCATAAAAGAATATTTGCTATATGAATATATGCCAGACATTTCACTCATTGCGATAGATAGAATATTCTGCTATAAAATAGAAAAAAAAAACAGAAGGTACTGGTGACAGCCCGTATCGGTAATGTATAATTTGGCAGAGCAAGCTTACATGCACCAAACCAAACAAATTTCAAAAAACAATTTTTGTAACATATTTATTGGTAATGTTAGCCGGTCAGATTCCTTGAAAACATTATATAACCATACTGGCAGAGACTAATAGAAAAGTGCAACAGATTGGCTAGGTCAGCAAGTAGATGTAGTTATCGATGAAGGTTACTTCTGACAAATGAATTGCGGTAAAAAATGATAAAAATTTTCACCACAATCAAAATAAGCAGTAAAGCCAAAATGTCACATAAGATGACAAAATTACAAGTAAGACGTGGCACTTCTTTGACTTTGGCATTTTAAGTCGAACAAAAGATTTTGGTGACACGTTTAATCAGAGTTTACCTGCCACGTAAGTTAGATTAATAACTCCAAAGTACAGGTAGACTGAGATTTTCGATAAGATCATCCACTCATTTCTCCATCTCCGCAATTCTTTGGAGCGTCCGATAAGATCTAAAGGGACTCGGGCACGTGGATTACACGGAATTACCATGATCGTTGATTATCTTCCTTAAATGCTTGCTTAAGCTCCGATCATCCATTTTTAGCCGACTCCATGTTCTAAGAAAATCCTTTTAAAAACCCTTTCTACAAGCATTTAATTTGATGTACGAGTCAATGGATATTATCTTCGTCGTCTTAATCTACAATTGAATACTTAAAAAAAAAAAAAGAAAAACGTGTATTGTAAAAAGAAAAACGTGTATTGTAAATATCCACATATACCTTGTCAGTAACCTTTTCAACATCACAACAAGTTCCGTCTTCATTCCTGAACTTCTCCCAAATGTAACTTTTGTTGTCCTCATCGTCATCTTCATCTTCATCTTGTTCTGCTTGCATCAACCTCAGCATAACTAAAAAAAAGAGAAATGCCATAACTATCATTTACTGAGGCATATACAGAACAAGGAGGGCACTCCCTAACACATCCCTTTTCCAGACTGTCCCTAGCATAGCAAGAAGTGAAAAAAAATGCCCCAAATGCTCCCAAAATGGACCCCCTTTTTTCCCCCCTTCAAGATCATTATTTGCATAGGAGAAGTGGGTGCATGCTTGACAACTTTAATCCACCAAGTAAATCAATGTTACAGCTACAAGGCACATTTATAGTTGGAATTTTCTACATGAGAAACATAATCTGAGTATGCATGAAGCTACCATGAAATATACACAACTTACAAATGTACCATAAAACCATTAACAGCTAGCCCTTACAGGATCAATCCATCTCAGAGGGGTTTCTCACCAAATTGCTTTCAGCTTAAGCAGCATAGATGTCTGGCATGCCTACTGAAAACAGCTTCAGTAGGCGTGACAGACATCTAAGCCTCTTAAGTTCATTGCAATTTAGCGAGAATCCCCTAGGAGATAGATTGATCTACAGTTAGTACAATAGGGTCTGGGAATGGTCCCTAACACACAAAAATATTTTGGAATATGCACTGGCACATGCATTAATTTCAAGACTTAATACTCTGCCATAAAAGAATAAATAAAAAAGGCAAATTTTCTGCAGTATATATGTCAAGGAGAGCATTTATCTTTTAATCAAGCTCCTAAGCGAACAACAGAGCATCTTGCATATAAAAAGCTGCATTAAAATAATTTATAATGGGTGTGAAATATATGAGAAACAATAAGTCTGCATTCATCTTTTTGAAATTTCTTAGATACTTTCCCATTTGTACTGAATATTTAAGCTAATACTAGCACAGCTACTGACTTTGTGATCCAATATTTCTTACCAACTCCAACACTGAAAACATCATATTCCTTGCGGTACTTGTTCTTATAGGAGGAGTAGAGAAAGTCTGGATCCTGATAACTAACAGCACCATGGCCAATAGCAGTAACTTTGCTCTGTTTAGACTTCATCTCTGTAGCCAATCCATGGTCTCCAATGCGGGCATTTAATTCCTGATCCAACAAAATGTTGCTGGGTTTGATATCCATGTGGAGAATAGAGTTTCTGAAAGGCAAAATTTTTTATTAGCCAAAATAAAGGAAAAAATTCTTCATGGAGAGAATGCTGTAAATACATACTAGTATTGCATTTCAAGGAATCAGCATTGTGAAAAGACAAACAACATTTAAAAAGTTACTATAGACTAAGATTTTATAATTTTCAATCCTTTTAAAATCAATGTTCAAATTACACATTAATTTTTCTTATCATGGCTCTTATTCATCTAATCAAAAAATAAAACTGAATATACATAAAATTTACCAAAATGTATTTGAATCTATTCTTCTTTTATGATTGTTTATTTATTTTATTTATTTTTTTTTTTTTTACCTAATTTTAACACCCCCACTCTTAACTGGTGTGTGGAGATATTGTAGGCCTGCACAGACTTGGTATATAATGCGGCACCTGTCACACCAGCCTGGTACAGGACTTGTATTTTTTAGTACATAATCCAAGTCTCTCTTCTCCATATATGGATACATCAGATAGATTTCCCTGAAGGTAGGAAAAACATCAGCCAAGACTGTTCAGAAGTATAGTTGGTTAAAGTCATAATAACTCTTCATTTTGGCCAAAAATTGGATTTTCCTGGAGTAAACAGCAATTTTCCCGTACTTACCAATGGTCAGCGACCCCATTCCTGCATTCAAAGTTAATCCAGGGTTTTTTTCCTAAACGTACGGTTTTTTGTTAAAATCTCTGAAGAGATTTTAACTGACGGAGCTCTCTCTGACATCGCATAATCACTGTTGAACTACTTAAAACCGCGGGAAAAGCAGACAACAACAACACTATATAAGATTCATGAGATATATTCGTCTTTTTGTTAAAAATACATTAATATCCACAATGTGTGCCATTCTGGGCTTTTCGTTATCCGACGCACAGTACAAAAACTCGCAACTTACGTCTGCGTCTGCATTAATGTGTTTGGCGCCATATGTTATTTTGGTCTCGAATGATCGCGAGAATCCGCATGACACCATTACGTCATTAGCAACGAATGCCTTGATGGCCGGGAAGAAAAGCATCGAAAGTCCTTTTGACAAGCACAGATTTTAGTTTTACTACAATAATGGCCGTTTTAGTGGTAAAATACAATAGAATATATTTCCATGCGTTGTTTACAATGTATTTCATGCGGAATTTTGAATCTCAAAGGAAGAGTTATTATTGCTTTAATCTACTGCCAAAAAGCAGTTATTTGTTTGGCACAAACCCAAACAAGTATGATGTTATCTGATATGTTCACCAATAGAAAATTTGATTCTGGTATGTCTTTGTCCCAGATTTAAGCGTGTCATTTAAGTGTCATTTTTGGCTAAGAATTAAAGAGTTCAAAATACACACAATGTTTGGCAATGCAAAATTGTTTGTTATAATAAGACAAATCCACCTCCTTTTACATAAAAGCACCCCAGTGTAATCCAACACATAGGAAGTATTGTGGATGTGCAGATATATTAAATACAACATAAACAAAATAAATTTTTGCTTAACCTCAAGAAATGAACATTCAAAAGCAGTCCTTAAATGTTATTTTTTACAACCAGCACAATGAACAGGGACTGCAGGAGGATTGCACAGTGGGGCATTGCAATCAGGTGTACACATTCTGCAGTTGAAGGACTGAAATATATATATTGCTTTATATATTATTATTATTATTCTTATGCTCTTTTATACTCACTTCTGTGTAGCTGCAACTGCATATAATGGCAACAGAAAGGGATGTCTTATATGACCAACAATCTTTTCCTATTAAATATGAAAGGAAGAAATGGTTAAGAAAGAAATGCAACTTTATTAAAACCAAACCTCAAACATTCAGGTTTCTTTACATGACATAACACTGACAGAGCTCTGTAAATTATACTTCATATAAATTCTTTTTTCATTTTAGTCAAGCCCAGCAAGACATTCAACTGGAATTGATAACTAGCTGTAATTGGCCAATTATCTGGTATTTAGCAACTGCAAATCAATTATTACTAATATTTGTAACTGAAGATACCTTCACATACTGGAGCTCATGTTCCTTTTTGGCTTTCTTACAAACTTTGATGGCAACTTCTTTGTCTCTGTATTTTTTGGAACCTATAATGCAACAAGGCCATTACAGATAAATATCAGTAGCAAAACCATTAAAAATACCAGGAACTAATAAGTAAAATATTGACAAATATCCTCTTACTGGCATTATGAAAAATAAAATTGGATAAAACATAATGTTTGTCTTTTAATTATTTTGATTAGTTTAACTTTAATAACTTTACCAATACAGCCCATATTTGAACTGCATTTTAGTGACATGAAATGCTCCAGTGTTTCATGATAATAATCAATACAGTTATCCATTTATTGCATTTACATTTGAAAAGTGCATGGCAATGACGACAATAGATTCAGATGATAGTTTCATGTTCAGTCAAACTTTGTCTGTACATAATATGCAATCTAAGAGCATTTAACACAGGCATCTTAAATACATCTTTCAAGACATTAACTAGAGGATCAGAGAGGCGATACCGCCTCCGAATATTGTACCACCAGCTGGAGTAAGCACATTCGTATAGCCCCCCCCCACAAAAAAAGGGACACCACCACCAGTCTTGTGCTTGACAAGCTGTAAAAATTGCAATCAACAAGAATTCTCAAAATATGCAAAAAATATATATAACTAAAATGGTACAATCAAAGTTCAATTCATGATGAAAAGTAGGTCAAAGGTCAATTTCAAGGTCACACTTAGATTGCCAGTATATGACTTCCTATTCAAATTCAACAGTAACTATGGGCGTATCTTTGCCAGTTTTGGAGATAAAAGGGAACCAAAATTTGCAAAGTTAAGTTCATGGTAAAAAGTAGGTCAAAGGTCAATTTTAAGGTCACAGTAAATTGCCTCTAATGACTACATATTCAAGTTCAATAGTAACTATGGACCTATCTCTGCTAGTTTTGGAGATAAAAGGGAACAAAATTTACAAAATTCAATTCATGATGAAAAATAGGTCACAGGTCAATTTTAAGGTCACAGTAAATTGCCAGTATATGACTTCCTATTCAAGTTCAATAGTAACTATGGGCATATCTCTGCCAGTTTTGAAAATAAAAGCATTAAAAAGTTGCAAAGTTCAGTTCATGGTGTAAAGTAGGTCAAAGGTCAATTTCAAGGTCAGAGTAAGATTACAAATATATGACTTCCTATTCAAGTTCAATAGTAACTATGGATCTATCTCTGCCAGGTTTGGAGTTAAAAGGGAAAGAAATTAGCAAAGTTCAGTTCATGGTAAGGTTAAAAGTGGGTCAAAGGTCAATTTTAAGGTCACAGTAAATTGCCTCTAATGACTACATATTTAAGTTCAATAGTAACTATGGACCTATCTCTGCCAGTTTTGGAGATAGAAGGGAACCAAAATTTGCAAAGTTCAATTCATGATGAAAAATAGGTCAAAGGTCAATTCCTATTCAAGTACAATAGGAACTATGGACCTATCTCTGCCAGTTTTGGAGATAAAAGGGAACCAAAATTTGCAAAGTTCAATTCATGATGAAAAGTAGGTCAAAGGTCAATTTCAAGGTCACTTTAAGATTGCCAGTATATGACTTCCTATTCAAGTTCAATAGTAACTATGGACCTATCTCTGCCAGTTTTGGAGATAAAAGGGAACCAAAATTTGCAAAGTTCAATTCATGATAAAAAGTAGGTCAAAGGTCAATTTCAAGGTGACATTCAAATAGCCAGTGTATGACTTCCTATTCAACTTCAATAGTAACTATGGACCTATCTCTGCCAGTTTTGGAGATATAAGGGACTAAATGTTATAATTTTGGAGTTACAATAATGTGCCATAAATTTCCTACAGAAAAAATTAATTAAAATAAAGAAAAGGTCATTTTGGTTGAAATTCTTGAAATGGGAGGTGCTCAGAAGTTCCAGATGTTCAAATTTCGTGAAATTATGTCATTTTTGACCAGAAGTTGTCTGCCTCGCCAAGCCTTATGTTTTATTTTCCAGGGGTTCAAAATTTATTATCCATTACCGTACTGCACATTTTGCTTTCACCAACAATATGTACTTTTTGATACAGCGTAACTCGAAAACCGTAGGGAATACAAAAAAACAGAGACCATCTCCAGTGTTGGGGTTTACATGCTCTACAAGCTGCAAAAAAGAATGGGTCTCTAGCATTAACGGTTCCCGAATTAGAGACAGTTTTCAGTTTCGGTATCTTATGGCCGCTATTCCCGTGAAAATGCACCGATTGACCCCAAATTCACAGATATGAAAGATGACCCGAAGGGTACACTTTCCAATAATAATCTGTGTAGTGTCTGAATAACAGCGCAAATAATTTTTTTTCGTAAAAAATTTCGTTTTTTTTTTAAACGCTGGTGGTACAATTACCAACTTACAGCTTTTAGTAGGTGGGAAAGACGCTTAAGCCGGCCAAGCTGACAGTAATCTAGTGAGACTCCCCACAGGGATAGATCGATCTAAAAATCTATGGAAATGGGGTGTATGAAGAATATATTGTAAATATCTGAAAGTCTGATGGTAAAATATTGGGTGAAGAAAATGAAAAAAAAAAAAACCACGAAAAATCTTCATTTTCATACCCATGGGATTTGGACACATGAAAAAAAGACCCTACTTCATACTTAGTTACCATACCATTATTTTTCACATAGTTTGCATTGTGACATATATTTGTTATACATAATTTCGAAAGCCGAATGGTGAAATTTTAGTGAAAATTGATAATTTTTATATCAAGTAATCATCTAAGAATCATCTTACTACCTGTAGGATTTGGAGTCCCATATCAAAATGCTACACATTTCATTTTTAGCTCAATAATCAGGTCCCTTGGCCTTTTCATTTGAATACTTCATATATAGCAGCCAAGCCCAACAAACANTTTTAAGGTCACAGTAAATTGCCAGTATATGACTTCCTATTCAACTTCAATAGTAACTATGGACCTATCTCTGCCAGTTTTAGAGATATAAGGGACTAAATGTTATAATTTTGGAGTTACAATAATGTGCAGGGATCTCCCAGGGTTCCTTTTTGCGCCATTGGCGCGCACAGATTTGTAATGACGCACTTTTTCAATAGCAGTGCGTCCCAAGGGTGCATCAAAAATAAATAAATTTAAAAAAAGGAGTTTGTTTGTTCAACATATTTTAAACTGTTAAAATTGTGTATTTTTAAACCCACCAAAATTTTACTAAACTTGGAACAAGTGTCAGTCGGGAAAACCGAACTTCAAAGTTCTAGTCTTACGTCTACTGCGTGCGTTCTCTGCATGGAGAGTACCTTCTCTGGGTAGAGAGTACACCGGAAGTTCAGAGATGCCCGCGCCAAAAGTAAAGCAGCCGAAGCTTTCGTTTTTTTGGCATACGAGTAATGTACCAGATAGCGGACATACTAGTGGTAAAGTACCAGATAGGGAGCCTCCACTAACTTCCGTTAAGAAGTTTCAGCAAAGTTGGCTGCAGAGATTCCCGTGGCTGCGCTTCGACAAGGAAAAGTCAACCACGTGGTGTGCACCATGCAAAAAGGCGGGCAAACGTAATACCATGGCCCTGGGGGTATCGTCCAACCTTCTCACCAGTACGCTCACCCGCCACGTTGGAATGACCAACCATGTATGCGCTATCCAGTAACTTAAATAAATTTACTCTGGTTCGAATTCAATTAAAAAATGAGTGATTTTAACTTAAAAGTGTTTCCACGTGTGCAGCCTACTTAGAGATGTACGCACTCGTACAGGGAGTTGAAATTATTTTGAGTTTCTTGTGCATTTGGCCTTGAGCAAGGTACTACGTTTTTGGTGGGATAAGCAGTCAATTAACCATATAATTATGTCTTCCATTTCTATTTGTGTTGTTTGAATACAATTTGGTACTAGTAGTTTATTGCCAAGTTAATGTACTGTATGATGTAGAAATCATTATGCAAAGTAATGGGATTGCATTTTAGTCATTTTAGTTTGAGTATCACTGATTGTTATTATGGACAAAATGATTAGTGAATTTTTAAGTGTCTAAATATATATATATATATATATATATATATATATATATATTATGTAATTGACAAAGTAAGTACGCAGCATTACTGAATTGCAATGCTTATTTTAACAGGTACCAAAGGAACAGGTGTACATGAACACAGCAACTACCAAAGCCCTGAATACGCAAGAGAAGGCCATCATGACAGCGATGAAAGCAGTGTTTGCAATGGCCAAGGAGTGTATTCCACTTTCTAAGTACAGTTCTTCAATGAACTTTCTCCAAGCAGTAGAAGTTCCAGATACAGGTCAGCTGAAGTGCAGCAGTGCAGTCTCATACTGCTGCAGTTACTGCAACTGACATACTTGATGTTTTATCTTGTTTAATTGATGAAAACATTACACAACAGATTCACCAGTCATTGCTGTCTTATGTGATGAAAGTGTAGATATTTTAGTTCCCCATAAATTGGTAATCCACTAACTTTAGCCCCCAAAACCATGTGTAAAACCATGTGTAAAAAAAAAACAAATGCTACTTACCTTTAAAGACTTCTCCAAAGCCACCACTCCCAAGAGAATTTTCGCTGCAGTATTCCTTCATCTTTTCAACACTCATGTACTCAAGCACTGTCCCACTATCCCAACTGTCTTCTGCTACAGGTGGGCTGGGCATAGAATCCTGTGCTTGCTCTGGGAACTTAAGGCTACTCTCATCTTCAGGGTGGCTAACTAACAGCATATGATGTTGTCCATCACCCCTTTCCAAGGGAGTGCATGCAGGATGTGTATCAACATCGTCTACTTTTGGACTAATGGACAATTTGGCCATTATGTGCTCCAGACCTAAACTGTCGATAAGTCTCAAATAATCTTCAGAGAACTCTTTATGCATTTTGGACTTAATATCATTTCTGTGAATTTGTTCCATCAATTGCTGCAGCCTGCTGTCATCAGTTTCAGAAATGATATCTTTTTTTAACATAGCAGTGAACAACTGAAGAGGTGAATCAATGTTATCTTTTTCTTGGCCCTTAATTTCATCTAAAAGAAGGTATTTCATATTATTCAAATCATCAGAAGTCAGCATTTTAGAAACAGAGAACAAAGTAAATATATGTTTGCTAAATGGTTTGCAGTCTTTGCTTTGCAGCAGAATTCCATGGTTACTGTAAAAGTCCTTTATTTTCTTTACAAGATCCTTTCTCTCAATCTGTTCTAAGCATAGCACCAGCAGTGTGAAATGACTGCATTCAAGCAAATATCTTTTTTCCATTTCCTCAAAAAGCTTTCTAGGTTTTACAATGTCCTGGAGGACACCAGCACTAATGAAGTCTGTCATGAGAAATTTGAGTCCTTCTACATCCTTTTCTCCCAATTGTGAAGCTACATCGTTCAACAGCCATCTGTAGTCAGCTAATGATAGTGTTTTCTTATCCAAGTGGGGTTCTTCAGCTGAATAGGATAATCAACAAGGCAGCAAAGCTGTCAAATGTACAGACAAAAAACAGGAAATAACTATGCACAAAATAGGCTACTGTCAATTCTGATGCAAAAATACATTATGTTAAACTGCAAATTCAACATCAAATTTTAATTATCCTCAACAGGTAATACCAATGTAATTAAAATATGTGACAAGTTTACACTTTGAAAATGTATAACTTCCAGAAAAAGAAGTTCCTTAGATTGCTTTTCCAACTCAGACTGCATTTTAGTCCTGTATTTCTTTTTTGAAAGTTTGGCAATCATAAGTAACATGGTTTTCCCCATAATGGTCATCATGGCAGCAGCACCCAAAATTGTGTTTTCTTCTATTCTGATGCAATATTACATAATGGTTCACAGCATAATAACTCAATTTTAATAATAAAATATACGTATCATGGATTTTCAGAAAATGTGACTAGCATGGGTCTTCAAGCCTGTGGAACTTCAAAGTCACACCTTGAAAATGCCAATATGTGAAAAATTAAATTTTCACAAAATAACTGTTTAACTGGCAGCAAGAATTACCAAACAGACTGTATTTCCTACTGAAGCTGTGTTTTAGTCCCATGTTTCTTTCCTGTAAGTTTGAGAACAGTAAATGACATGGTTTTTCTTAAA